TGATAAAATTGTTTGTTTTGTTGATGCCATCTTTTTCGGTCTGAAAAGGCCCTTGCAGAGTTATGACATAGCTATGCTGTGGTGTAGTAATTGGGTTGTGCGAGCCAGCGACAGTAATCTGCGGAAGCGAGACTGTTCCCGTGGGACGATTGCCCTGTCGGGACGGTCCAGCCGTCTCCCAAACGGTCACCCGAAGAGGATTATGTGTCCTGGAATGGATCCGACATCAACTACAGGTTGGCTGGTTGGGGTGACCTCCAGTCCAGAGAGGGAAGCAATTTCCGAAGACTAGGGGCGATGCGGATTGGTTTTTCCTGAGGATAGCTAGGACGGAAGGAATCTAGCACCCTTGAACCTTCCTTATACTGAATGTATCTCAGGCTGTTAAATCTCCTAAGCGTTTTTTTCGCGACATCGTCAAGGTGTCATTAACAAAAATATGAAATTCGGGAGGATAAATTAAATATAGAAATTGTGGCCAACAGAACATTATCAGTTGCGTTCGACATACTCGCAAGCATGTTCACACACCCAGCTTACATATGAGCCATGTAATAATTATTTTTGATAGACATGCTTAAGTTATGAAATCATCTGAAGTGTTTGCGAAGTTCCACGATACGGATCTAATATCCTGCTATGCATTATGACCATTTCTGGTCAGGTCATGTCTTTGAACATAGGCCAAATTTTTCAAATGACCTTTAAAGATCAACTTTTGATTCATTCGAAGCGTTTTGATAAGAGGAACACGAGGCTGGTAAAATTAATTTCATGCAAGTTTTAAGCTAAAAACTTTTAAATGTTTGTGGAAAAGCAATTAGTTTTCCCATAATACCGATGGTGGTTGTTGTTGTTATTTACATGCTAAGCCGTTGACCCTAATTAAATCTGACAATATTATTCAGATTTCAGACATAGCGGTAAACGAGCTGATTATTGTGTTAGGTTAGGCTCTTTCGGTCGATTTCAGAGTGGGAAGGATGATAGGAATTAGGGGGAGACAGGGGGCCTGGGCGGGAGTCCTGGACCTCATGCTCCGCTGGGGCCGAGCCCATCCCGTGGGTTGGATTGCCCTGACACATGGATGGATAGCCCTGGGCGGTGTTTCACGGCCCCGCGCTGCAGCACGCTGCGCTGCGCTGCTGCATTGTTGCGGCGGTTGATATGAATTCGGCTCCACGCTAGCGTTGCGAGCCATAGGCGCGGGAGCCGGGGGGGGGCAGTGGGGGCAGCTTGCCCCCCCCCCCAACTCTGGGGCCGTGGGGGCGGTGCCCCCACAGCTTTGAAACGGAATACCACACTTTTTTGCAAAGGTTTTCTTTTTTATTGAAAAAGCCGAGGGATGAAAAATAAGTGGCCTAAAACCGGTGAGAAAACTAGATTTGGGGGACCCTAGGTTGATCTCTATTATGGTGTGCCCCCAGTCGGAAAGTAGTTCCCGCGCCCCTGTTGCGAGCTTCCGAGTCTGTTGATGTTTCCATGGAAATTGGAAACCCAATGCACCGGAGCGCGCAACGCACCCTGTCTATGCAAAATTTTACCATCGATGACCTCTAGTGACATGACCTCTGGTTATGATCCGATCCAAAATTGGCTGAAGTACTTTTTTCTTCTTTTTGCTACTTTTGACGCTACTTCGAATATCACTTACCTAAATGCCCAAGGCTGAGTTATAAGAATGATGCTCAATCCCCATTTCCCCTCCAACAGGGCGTGAGAGAGTCTAGGCATTCCTGTGGGGCACGGGCTAACAATGACTATCTCATAATCATTGTGGCCATGAACATCTACTGCCATTCCTTAACACCGGTTTCGCTGCGCTGAGCGGTGGCCGTCCCGTTTGTTGGATTCTACAGCTGGCTGGTGGAAAGCGTTACCGGCCGCCCGTCCACCGCCCGCGGGCCGGACCGAGCGGTCCCGCTGACCCTACCTGACCTGAGCCCGGCGCGATATGGGACAGGCAGACGGGGGTTCGGCTCAGCGAAGGCAGCGCCCACTGGTGCTGGGGACTTTTTTAATAGACCTACTGTACAGAGAAGGTGTGTTCTGTGTAGCTCTTGAAAAATGAAGTCATGCCTAAAATTCAGTTTAGGATATTACAATTACAAATAACTTGGATAAAAGTTGCAAAACATGAACTCTGACTGGTCAGTTGAAATGTCTTTAGTCAGTGAACCACGCCTGGGCTGGAGGTGGTCAGTTCCCTGGCTTGCGCGACCTCGGGCAGGAGCTGTGGGACTTGTACATGGACAAATTGAATAGATGCTAGCCTAGATCATGTCGTGGCTGCAGTCCAAGACATGTTCACTAGTTGCCGTTGCTGCCGCCGCCTGCTGCTGCCCTGCGTGCCGGCTGGCAGCTCACTGCTGGACTGTTTGCGCGCCAGGCATCCTACTGGACGAGTGGGGTAGGTCGCAGATCTTTGAGAGTGAAACGTTTGGTCTAAATGTAGCTGAAACTCTTACAAATAATCTAATAAAAAGGCAAAATTTCAGATGACTCCATTGGTGTCTCAGTGGTGTCAATCAGAACTTGATCAGAACTGTTATCATGCTGAATGCTGAAACTGAGAATAGGGCTGAGCTGGTGGGCTAGAATTTAATATGCATGCTTACAAGGTCCCCAGTTAAAGGTAGTGTGCCAGCTTTCTTGGACCATATGGAGTTAATGACCCGGATAAGGAGAACCGGATTTTTAGAACTTATCCATACCTTCAAAACTTATGGAAACGTCTTAAATTCTTCAAATTTTGAGTACCCCAGTGCGAAATTCGCCCCGACGGGTTGTCGGTCGTACCCCAACCACATTTCACACCACTATGAACAATAAATGCACATACTAGAATCGCTATTACCGATAGGCTCATCCAATCAAGTTTCGATAAACCCGTTCATCATCATCTCCTGCGGTTTCGAACACGCCTGTTAGGTGGCTTCTGATGCTCGTCGAGGTCGGAATTTCCAAATACGCGTGGTGCGTCGGGCCGCGCGCTCTGACTTCGGCCAAGAAAAATGCGTCAGCTGATCATTGTCATTTCTGCCACTTGCGTGTGGTGTAATGGGGTCATAACTTAAGAGACGGCTGTTTCATATCAATTATTTTACATAAAATCATATTTCAAACCACAAATTAATGTTCGACAGCCAAATTTAAGAAACAATACCAATACAGGCTTACAGTTTAAGGCTCGACATTGTGTTGTCTACGATTAGACAGCTGATAACTCATTCCCGTACGTCGTATGGTCGTAACACTATAATGACCTTTGCTTATTGTCACAAGTGCGCCGCATTCGCGATTGTTGCCCGACGCCTGTTTGCAGGTGAGCCCACTACAGTTGTTATACATATCTAAAAACCGAAAAACTTTTAGGCGAAAAAGGCACTATTCCAGGCCCATTTTTGATTTTTTTGCGATATTAGGTAAAAACAGAAGCTTCTTATCCTAGGAAAAATAAAACGGGAAATCTTTCAAAGGTGGCACACTACCTTTAATCCACAAATTTGTCAGACTTGCCTGTAGGCAAATTTATGCAGATGAAATGTTTCTGGCAGATAGCCCTGAGGCAAAATGCTATTCAAGCTTGTTCCGCAGCTCGTTGCGTTCCACATGAGCCACTAAATCAGAGTCACACAATTCTGCCAAATGTGCTGAAAGGCCACGATTTTTCCAATAGGTAGGTATATTTATTATTTTTCACAGACACAACAAAAATACAAATGCAGGTCACTACAATTCATTCTGATTCAATTACAATTGCTGGAATGTGTTTTGCAGACTTATTATACTGAATCTTGAACAGAATATATTTAATTACTTTGGTCATGGGCCCAGGCCAGTACTGCAGAGTATGGCTCGCAGGTCGCCAAGGAGCACAGGCCCAACTCCCAAGTTCAAAATTGACACAAACCCTTCACACAGAGCCCGAAAATTCACACCAAAGGGGGCTGAGAGAACACAAAAAATGCACCAAACCCCAAAATGGCCAGTCAAAATCTGCACTGACCTCAAATCCCCACAATGCTACACATTGACATCTGCACCACAGCAAGCCAAATTCGCACCCCGCTACACTAAATCTGCACCACACTAAACCAAATCCGCACCGCACCGCACCACACCTAAATCCGCACCAGGCAAAGGAGTCCACACTGACAAAATCTAGACAAAATTGCCATACTTTGCAGTCTGGCTCATGGCTATATCCATTGTGATTCTTAGGTCTGATTATTGAAGTTGAGCTCACTTCCATCATCCATCATCCATGTGCCCAAGACATTGTGGGCAGCATCGATAATCTAAACATCAAATATCTTGCTTTTGCTTATTTAGGAGCATTCTATAATCTTTTAAAAATGATAAATAAGGCCTTGTTGATATTCTTTAAAGTTTGCGACCTTCTTGACAAAGTTCAAGCTTCAATTTTCCAATTTTCCTGATATTTGATTTCATGCGCAATGTTTGTACTATTCGCGGCAGAAGCGTAACAAAACTTTGTGCCACCGATTTGGCAGCTAGGAAAAAAACTTTGCCCGATAAAAAAACAATCATATGACGTAATCGATCCAAAAGCTTTAAATTGGAATTTTTAAACAATTAGCCAACTATGGGCCGAATGTTTGCCAATTTCGTGTAAAGGGGCCCCTAATATATGTCTTGCAACACAAGAACAGTATATCAAAGCAATTTTTTGAAGGTGGGACAGTCCCTTTAAAAGGGACAAATCATGACACCATACAAAATGTCCCAGATTTATCTATCACGTGCATTGCCTTTTTTGCACGCGATTTTTCGATTTAGGGACCACCATTGACATTTACTTTTTAACAGTTAAAAAAAATCACCCTGTATACGATATCAATAGTGAGTCGAAAACCTTGATATCAGTAAAATCAGAAGATAAGATAATAGTTAATGGCCCAGGACGGAGCATCACTGATAATCACACCCTACGACACCTTTCCCTCTCACAGCCGATTAGCTGCACCAGCACTTACCCAGCTCCTGCGGCGGGATCTGCTGAAAGTCATCCCGGACGAGCAGCAGCATCAGTCCGACGCCGGCGTGCAGGCCGACCAGGGTGAGCTGCACGAGTAGCGCGCACGTGGCCACCACCCAGCCCCAGCCGGCCTCCGGGTAGTAGTGTAGATAGATGGTCGGAAAACGACGCGCGTTCTCACCAGTAGCGCCCGGACGCTGGCTGCTCAGGTGGCTCACGTGGCTAGCGTGACTGTTCTCCTCACTGAGGATGCCGGGAGAGAAGAGGCTCGGCAGCCGCGGTAGGCGCACGGGAGCGCTGCCCTGACGCGCCAGGCAGCTCGGACGCTGCTGAGAGGAGGTGGTATCTCGCGCGGAAGGTGCGGAGGGTCCTCGGGCGGGCCGTGGTGATACTGGCGGTCTCGGCACAGATGTGGCATTGTTTACACCGACATCGTTCTGCACAGGTTCACAGTTGTTGACATTGTTGACCAAGGGTTCTCCAGTGAGTGATGCCAGAGGAAACTGAAGAACGCCGTTTGGTGCTGCTTCTGGCACTACTGATGGGATAGGGTCCGCCCCATAACACGTGCACACCTCCAGTTCTGGCTCGGAAGTTTCCTGTTGCACCAGCGGCCATGAGAGGGTGCGACGCACCGCCGTTTGTGGCCACATGGTGGTGCAACTACACCAACACCACCACAGGCACCAGCACCAGCTCGCTGATCACACCACCAGACCCGGCACTACCACCACTGATCTCCTCTCACTCCAGCCGCCGTCCAGCCGTCCAGACCGACGGATAACAAGCGACGCCGCCGGATTATGAAGCACTTATATTCAGCTATCGCGGCGCCACAGTTGTCCGTTATAGTCATACGAACGCGGCCCGGAATCAGAGGGTCATTAGGCGGCCGAGGGTCGTCTGGGGAGGGGCGGGGCCAGTCGGAGAGAGGCGGGTCGGTGGGGAGGAGGGGCGAGTGGACGCCGGTCGTCAGAAACGACACCGTCACAGTAAGCAGAAGTGGCAGTGGTGATGAGATGGAATCATGCAAAGGTGTGGGGTGGAAGTGCTACGATTGATGCGATTGAAAAGGGAAGGATGATGAAGAATGGAAAAGAAGAGCCCACACTGCGGTAAATCTCTTGAATCAGAAGCGTGGTTTAGGCTGTCGGTTCTCAGGCTGCTTATAAAGTTCGACTTGGAAGTCGGTAGGTGCACACCCCATTGCGGCGATAGTAGTTTGCGTCACGATAAACAGGATTCCGGTTCTCAACAGAGATATGACGAGATGCAACTAGCCAAAGACGGAAAAGTCGCTCACCGAAGAAAGCGCAGTATACGGAGAATTCTGCTCCTTACAATACGATGGACGTTTTGTTTTCCAGTCATTAGCCAATGCTGATGTGCTGATACGCACTTCTGTTGGTTTTCAGCCAATGAAATATCACCGATGAATATCTACTCCACATCCTTCCAACAACAATCCGGCTCTCGGTTCTGATTCATCAACATTAGCTCAAGCTGGTTGTGAGTTGCACACCGTCACGAAGGTCTAGCTTCACCACGCCACGTGACCTTCCTACATCACTCAGTCACGTCTATGTGATGTCTACATCACCTCAGGTCACCTCACACACCACAGACACCACAGAGCCTGTCCTCCCGCCCGATACCACCTCCGTCTACCACTGTCACCGGACCCCACAACGCCGATCCTTGGCCGCCACCGCCACCTCCCCCGGCCGACTGACACCGCCTGGGGCACTGTCCGCCGCCGGCGCTGCCCCGCCCCTCCCCACCGCTTCGCCACCCCATCCCCCTCCCCCGCGGTGCATGGCAGGTGGGCCGTGAGCGGTAAACTAGAGAGTTGTCTCTGGTGGAGGGACGATCAGATTAACCGCAAACCCAGGCGTTATACTATGAATGCTCTGATTTCTGAAAATATTTTAAAATCGCGACATTATTTGGTCCAAAGATTACAATAAACCCATTCCGAACCTATCGGTTTTTCAGATAAATACAACTACAAGGACGGGAGGGGGAGGGGTGCGGGACCATATTCTCCTTTTCACCCCTAGCTAAGCTAGAGCCTTGCGGTAAAAACGAGCGTGTGCGCCGTTACGAGATGCAGTGACTGGTACCCGATTTTAAGGTCTCAGGTTAACGGGTGACCTTTGACGTCAGGTCAAACTTGGTCACCAAGCTGGTCGAAAGTCATATCGTATATCATTCGCATAAATCAAGCACGCGATTCAGAATCAAGCCGGCTGCCGCAATGTCTCGTTGCACTCACGCTAAGGAATATTTGCGCCAGGGCACTAAAGAGAACATTACGAAGACGATGACCCCCAGTGGAAGCGTCCCTTAGTGCATGGTACTGTGAGCGGAATAATAATGCCTCGACATTGGGAACGCCAGGGCCCAAAGGCTTCCATCAGAGCGGAGTGGCGGGCATTACGTAGCAGTCATAACACTGTCTTCACTGCGGTCGCTTGCTACTTTTCCAAGCGAGCTATGTCCACAAAACTCAAAAGACAGAGTGAACAGCCATACAGCATACTGAGGAGACACTACTGCTCGTCAGAGGGAGGCCTTGTCCGCTGCCGGCACAAGCGGACTAAAAATACCGGCTGAAGAAGGGGCAAGGAAAGCGCGCGCCTACGTATTCGTTCACTTATACGTACTTGCATGGTCGGTGCCAAACAGCTGCGAGTCCAGCTGTATTCCCAAGTGCTCCATCTGATGTTTTCTATTGCAGAGTTTGCTTACATAATCGACAGCGAGGTATTTGCGTGAGAAGCTTTGAACAAAAAAGCTGTAACTTGTTGTCATGCTATGCGAACTGCGAAGTGCAGAAGTCTACCTTTCACTTCATGACAAACGTTACAATGCTCAATATTCTTTGTTAAATCATTTGTGTTGCCAGAGATCATTCGAATACTCATCTGTGTTTGCAACAACTGGGATATGATGAACGAACAGCATGGGACCAAGACTAACGTCATTAACCGCGCTGGAAACCACTTTGGAAAAAACGAACTTTAGTTGCCTTGTTGATACACAAGAGTAATGACTAATGAAAGGTATTTTCGCACGCGGAACTCTGATAAAAGTTTTCTCATTTCTTACCTGGGAATGAAAGCTATTAGAGAGAGGGTGAAAAAACTGAAGTCTTCGTCCCATGAGCATTGGACTCGTAATTAACGCCAGATTCTGCACAGCACTGAATCGATAGACGATATATCGATAATGTTGGAATCCTGATCCGAACCAAACCGCGCCCTGTTTGCCACTACTTTCGTTTTCTGCTGCACTGTTACACGCAATAATGCATTGGATGATTTCTGATGCAGCCGAAGTACCCATTCGTGCCGCTTTACATTCTGCAAATACACACTCATCGTCCTATCGTGGTATTTATAGTGCCCCAAAATAGTCACAAAATCGTTACCCTAAGTCGTGCCTACCTACTTGTGTGTGCGAAGTTGTGCAAAGCACCTACAATATACTTCAGTACCGACGAACTAGTACGACAACGAGTAATAAATTGGGCCACGAATTGTGCATTGAACCAGCGCTGTGCACACTCGACCCAGTAGCACAGCATTGATCGGCAACGGAAGACTGATATTGTCACCTCACTCACCCACTCACTCACTCACTCACTCACTCACTCACTGCTCTGTGTCACCCCTTGACATCGTTATATTCAATTTTTCTTTTTTTTTGTAACATCAAAAGAGGCAAAAGCTGTCAAAGTGATAAATCTGTTACATTCCGTTGGCGAACTTGCTTGTAGTTACATTAAAGCTGAAAGTGGATATCCTATAGTATGTAGAAACAGATGCCACTCGCCAGTGCCTACCTTCCCACAAAGCACTGAACAAGTCATTTTTAAATTATGAATGATACCGTTTAAAACTGTTTTCCACATTTTTTGTTTTCAAATCTAAAGGTGTATATTCTTTTACCTCCACAAAGACCTTTGCGACCAAGTGGTCAGTGTGGAGGGAGCCGGCGGGGCGCTGTGACCGCCGCGCCAGGGAGCGGCACCGGCGCGGTGGAACGGCCCCGACCTCCTCCGTGTGTATGGGATGGGTGTATGTGTCCTTAAGTGCGTGTACGTGCGTGTAAATCGCGTATGCTGAAAATGTGATGTTTTTGCCTGATGAGTCATAAAAAATATATTTGAATTGAATTATTTGCTTATATGCCTGCTTTGTCATATTATCAGAGAGTATCATCGATTAAAACACTGAAATAAATCTAAAGTGACCATTCTACCAAGTTCAGCTTCTCAGAAGAAGGGTACAGCGTGGGTAGGTGCCTCTATAACGGCCCAATGGGCATTTTCCGTAAAAAGCCGAAAGGACATGCTGGTTGGCTTGGGGAATTAGAAAAGAGTGTAAGGTTATATCACAGATAGCATTTGATAATTACTCTTTAGTTTCAGGACACTTCGATTATTTATAAGCGTATTGCAAGGCTCGATATTGATTAACCCTCGCCCGCACATGGGGGGGGGGGTGGTTGCCACCCCCCCAGGCAGTCTTTCTGCTCTGCACTCAACATTTTTAGAGCTAGAAGGCTGATTTTTCGTATAGCTGCTCGTCTATCCTTTCTTGATGTCCACTAAAAATTTCAAGTTTCTGTGATTTTTGGTTTCGGAGATATGGCCTTGTTTTTCAGGTCATGTCATGACCCAAATGGCCAATTCTCAACATCTTGCGTTTGCCATGGGCCTTGTGAGCTTTTGACACCCTGATTTCGGCCTTTTTTGCCAGTCTTACCTCCCACCTATCATGGAACATGTTGTTCGACGATGTACAGGGGTCAAGGTCAGGGTCAAGGTCAACCTAGGTCATCTAAGATAATTGCGTTTTAGGCAAGCTGAATTTACTTTTTGTGAAGTTTTTTGACTGCATTTTTGGTAAAAGCTTCTCAGATCATGATTTCATGTGATATGGACCCAAAAACAATCGGTGCGCACATCAGTATACACACAGACACACACAGACATACAAACACATATAATTGACCTTGACCTTACTTGACCTGAAATGACCTCAGCAGCAAAATTCTGGTCGGATAGTGTGACAAAGAGGTTCTAGCTGGCTTGGCACCAGAAAACAGCATCGTCATCGGTATTTGATAAGCAGCGCACTTGATATCCAACGGTGACCCAAAACAGCAACATTTTTTAGTTTGACCTGACCTGGAAGGTCAATGACTGACCTGGGAAGGTAAAATTGGGTATCATTGGATTCGTCTCTTCCCAAAGAATCTTTTTGGTCTTTACTGCTAAGCTCTATCTCCAACAGGAACGAAATGGCGCGGGGGGGGGGTGGCAACCACCCCCCCCCCCATGTGCGTTCTAGGATGGGAAAATGGCATGTGCGGGCGAGGGTTAAGTACACACCATACTTTCTAAATGTTCACAATTAGCGAAGTTCGATCAGCCCAGTCACATTATTTCCAAACGAAGGAATGAAGGCTGATTAAACGTCCGACGCTTGGATGATTTAAACGAAAGATTTCATGATTTCAAAGCACAGCCTTCCCGTGGCTTCCATAATGACCCTATTAAATGGCGAATCAAAGCAGCTATTGTCCAATATTCGCATGAACACGGAGTACAATTGCATTGTTCGTCGCATGGGATGAATAGTACGGGCATGAAGATTGATATACGAGCACTAAGCACTGAAACCACGAAATTGGGTCAGTTCAGCACAATATCAACGGAGCATATCATGATGAGATGTCAGACGCATGAGGCGTTAGAGGGCTTCAGAGCTAAGTTACGTATTTACTCATATTACCAGTAAAACCCTTATCTATATATGGCCTTGAGTAAAACGCCTTTTGGGCGAATAACGAGCGAGCGAGATAGTGAGACCTGCACGTGCGGAAGGGCGAGAGGGTACCTCCAACGGGCTTGTGCAAAGCACCCTTCTAACCGGTCGCTAGCGGTGTGCCAAATTTGAGCGCAATCGGCCCGGCCGTTCCTGAGATCTGGAAGCGGCATTATGCACGTGCGCATAAGCGTAGGAACCATGGGTGCAAGGGTGCAGCTGCACCCACAATATTTCTCCAGTGGGTGCAGACAATGTATTCTGCACCCACAATAATCTGAACCAAAAAACCCTTTTCTCATCAACACTACTTCCCATGCAGCACGGCGAATTCAGGATATGTTGCCCACTATCCATCTTTCGAAGCATTTGCTATTGTGACTGTCTTCAAAACTTACATTTGTGCTGAAGAAAAAAAGGAAATGGAGCATGTGATTGAACACATACCGAACCGATGACCCACTGTCAAAATTCTTAGCCCGATATCTTCGAAAATGTCTAAGTTGGCCGCTCTTACTTTTTGCTGTAGTCAATATTGACATTAACCCTCGCATGTGTGCGGCGTTTTCCAGCTTCTAATGTGTAGGGGGAGGGGGGGGGGCGGTTGGACCCCCTGCCGTTCGGCCCCTGATCAAGCTAGAGCTTCGCTGAAAAAACAAGGGTGTTGCCCGTGACGAGAGGAAGCCGATGATGCCCCATTTTAAGGTCCTAGGTCATTGGTTGACCTTCCAGGTCAGGTCAATGTTCCAAAAGTCGGAAAATCGGGACCTGCTAGAACTGCGTTAAGTGAAGCTGTTATCCGGTTTTTCGGGGTGCTGATCACGAATA